TGCCAATAATGGTAATGCGATTCATTTGTCTGGAGCCAATATGTCGGGAGTCATTTTGTCGGAAGCCAATATGTCGGGAGCCCTTTTGTCGGTAGCCAATATGTCGTGAGCCCTTATGTCGGGAGCCAATATGTCGGGAGCCGCTTTGTCGGGAGCCAATATGTCGGGAGCCCTTTTGTCGGTAGCCAATATGTCGTGAGCCCATATGTCGGGTGGCAATATGTCGGGAGCCTCTTTGTCGGGAGCCAATATGTCCTGAGCCTATTTGTCGGTAGCCTAAATGTCGGGAGCCCATTTGTCTCTTGCCTATATTTCGCAAGTCAGTATGACGTGAGCCCATTTGACGGGAGCCGATAAGTCGGGGCACTTTTGACGGTGCTACTTTAACGGGGTCGTTTTGTCGGAGGTCGATTTGACGGGGTCATATTAACGGGGCCGATTTGACGGGGCCAATTTGTCCCGGGCCGTTTTGGAGGTGCGCCGTTTCCCTTACCTGCGGCCTACACTTTTCAACATCTATCTTCTATATATATAATTCTCTTCTGGGAGACGCTAGAAAACAAGATGTAAACGCGCTCCCTACCACCCCCACCCCTACATGGTCTGGTTAGCTGTGGTTCACTCTAAATGTTTACAAACAGAGCCGGGTTTAGTGACGACTATTAGGGACAGGTAATTTAGTTTGAAACGATTTATAACGTAGGGGGGGGGGGATAACTAAGTGGAGTTTACTTTAACGGAGTGGGGGGAAGGAGAGGGGGGGGGGGGGTTATCGTCCTTAACGAGCTACTTATAGTGTTTTAAAGAAATATTTTCAGTGGCAGCGTTGGTAGTGTCGAATTCACAAATTATGAATAACTGAAAAGTAGAAAAAAACAACAACTAAATAGCGGCGTATGATATGCCGCGGGTCGGCTCGTATAAATAATTCTCTTCTGGGAGACGCTAGAAAACAAGCTGCAAGCGCATCCTTGCAGTCCCCTCTCTTTCTCCCTATCACTATCACTACCACCCCCACCCCACCCCCACATGGTCTGGTGAGTTGTGGTCACGTTAAATGTTTACAAATCGTAGAGCCGGGTTTAGTGACGGCTATTAGGGGCAGATAATTTAGTTTGAAACGATTTTAGACTTACAGGAGGTAACTAAGAGGAGGCTGCTTTCACGGGGGGGGGGGGGGGGGGGTTAGTATCGGGGTTAGGGGAAAGGGGGGGGGGTAGTGCTTTAAAGCAAATATTTTCAGTGGCAGCATTGGTACTGTCGAATTCACAAATTATGAATTATAAAACAACTAAATAGCGGCGTATGACACGCCGCGGGTCCGCTCGTGTCCCAATATTTCAGGTGTAGGGGCACACACTGTGAGGTGAGCCGGGAAGAGTACATCAGCACTATGCTTATGTAAGTACACTTTCTTCTTTTCTTTCGGAACTATTACCGATTGCGATCTCCCCTTGATCATTTCATTCGTTCATTCGTTCATTCGTTTATTCGTTTATTCGTTCATTCGTTCATTCGTTCATTCGTTCATTCGTTTATTCTCTCATTCGTTCATTCGTTTATTCTGTCATTCATTCATTCGTTCATTCGTTCATTCGTTCATTCGTTCATTCGTTCATTCGTTCATTCGTTCATTCGTTCATTCGTTCATTCGTTCATGCGTTCATTCGTTCATTCGTTCATTCGTTCATTCGGTCATTCGTTCATTCGTTCATTCGTTCATTCATTTATTCTTTCATTTGTTCGTTCGTTCGTTTGATCGTTAGTTAGTTAGTTAGTTAGTTAGTTAGTTTGTTTGTTTGTTTGTTTGTTTGTTTGTTTGTTTGTTTGTTTGTTTGTTTCTTTGTTTGTTTGTTCGTTTGTTTGTTTGTTTGTTTGTTTGTTTGTTTGTTCGTTTGTTTGTTTAATTATTTATTTATATACTTATTTATTAAATGTATTAAATGTATTAAATTTATTATATTTATTAAATTTATTAAATTTATTAAATTTATTAAATTTATTAAATTCATTTCATTCATTTCATTCATTTCATTCATTTCATTCATTTCATTCATTTCATTCATTTCATTCATTTCATTCATTTCATTTATTCAATTTATTCAATTTATTCAATTTATTCAATTTATTCAATTTATTCAATTTATTCAATTTATTCAATTTATTCAATTTATTCAATTTATTCAATTTATTCAATTTATTCAATTTATTCAATTTATTCAATTTATTCAATTTATTTTATTCAATTTATTCAATTTATTCAATTTATTTTATTCAATTTATTCAATTTATTCAATTTATTCAATTTATTCAATTTATTCAATTTATTCAATTTATTCAATTTATTCAATTTATTCAATTTATTCAATTTATTTTATTCAATTTATTCAATTTATTCAATTTATTCAATTTATTCAATTTATTCAATTTATTCAATTTATTCAATTTATTCAATTTATTCAATTTATTCAATTTATTCAATTTATTCAATTTATTCAATTTATTCAATTTATTCAATTTATTCAATTTATTCAATTTATTCAATTTATTCAATTTATTCAATTTATTCAATTTATTCAATTTATTCAATTTATTCAATTTATTCAATTTATTCAATTTATTCAATTTATTCAATTTATTCAATTTATTCAATTTATTCAATTTATTCAATTTATTCAATTTATTCAATTTATTCAATTTATTCAATTTATTCAATTTATTCAATTTATTCAATTTATGTATAGGAAATATCTGACTGACGTTATCAAACCATCAAGTCTACTTTAAAATAAGACCTCCGTACTAAGGGACACAATATTATAAAATACATTGTACATGAAATTAATAATTGTCTTTTACTTTTTTACTTTATCGTATATACGAAGTATAGAGAAAGTATTGTAATCTGTGCAAAAAAAAAATCGAGATTTTTGCAAATCTCGACGTTTTACACCTCTCAGAGTCGGAAAAAAAATAGTTTTGCAATCTTGTCCGTATGTCTCTGTGTGTGTGTATGCGCATGTGTGTAAACACGATAACTTGAGTACCGTTACAGCTAGATTGATAAAATTTCATGTATAAGTATATCAAAATCGTAGATCTCCGTATCAACTTTTGAGCATTTTCCGATAACCGTAAGTGGAACTTTTTCTACTTTAAATTTTTCAAAAGCGAATAACTTGAGTACTATTTCAGATAAATAAATGAAATTTCACATGAAAGTGAAAGATCTAATTGTCTTCCTTCTGTCAAATTTTGAGTAATCTCTGTTGACTAAAAGTAGTAATTTTCATCCCCTGTTGTTTTATATAAGAATATTCGAGAAAGATTAGGAGAGATCACTCACGGTTTATATTTTACTGTTAGAATGCTGTTACTTGTTTTTGGTTGATTACAAGTCCCGCCAGACCAACAGCGATGCTGTTAAATGTTCTTATATTTTTGGGTTAATTTGGGGGCTAATACTGCATCACCAAGACTTAAAATAGTGTTGTTTAGTTTTTAGCGGTGGGTTGGTGGTGAGTTTTTTATGTTTGTCAAGGGGGTGGGGTGGGGCGAAATTGTTACAATCCATACACAGACACACGCGTACATAGCCACAACAGACACAAACACGCACATAAATACAAGGGCTAAAACAAAGCCTGAAAAGTCCCGAGTTCGAATCCTAGGTCATATGAGGTTGGTGCTGGTGACTGCAACTCGTATAGGAAAAGAAACCTCATAATCAAACAACTGCTGCCTTGTTGTTTGTTCTTGGTTGCACAAAGGCTATGGAATCAAATCTAAAACGGAACGCAGGGTGAAATTGGAATGAAATCCGTATACAGTTTGAGAAGTAATTCTTAAATTGGCTAGAGCAAATCCCTTCCAACTTTACATGCGCGCGAACACACGCACGCACGCATGTACACACAAACACATGTATACACACATACGCACGCACACATACTCAAACACATACACACACGCTCTCTCTCTCTCTATCTCTCTATCTCTCTCTCTCTCTCTCTCATACAGACAAGAATGCAAAAGAAAGTTTTCCGACGAAGGGAGATAAAAACACGGTCAAAATTTTTTAAAATGACTGTTTTTATTTGATCACACAAGAAAGTAAAAGCTAAATACACAAGATGCGGCTTGTGCAAGCTTCACCGTAAGCTCGCGAGCCGCAAGGTACGGCTCGACACCGCTAGTGTAAATTTCTCTAACAAGTTATTTAACATGTAAAAAACCTACATTCTTTAGCATAACTCACAATTATCTTCATTTACTTCTATATACATTTTATTTCTGTTCATTTTGATGTATAATACATAAATCTGGTTAGGAAAAACATAGGAGCTCTAATTGTTTAAGTAGTTGAATGCTGTTTAAAAACAAGTTAATTAAAAAAGTCTAGTGACATTTGTGCGCAATTTCCTTATGTTATCTAAAAATAGCTCTGACGTATAATGTTGGGGTGCGTTCAAGCTAGAAGAACAATCGGTTTGTAGGTGTTTATGTAATTTTAAAATTTGTGACCGAACGAGAGAATATTTTTGAAAACTTTCTTCGGCAATATTGTTCTAAATTATGACAGGAATCGATTGGTACATGTTTCAAGTCGCTAAGTGGTCTGGTTGCCGAGATATGGGCCAAAAACTGCATGTTTTTGAGGTTTTTTGGCTTTTCTGGGAAATCCATGAAAGAAACCCGGAATTTTTATGGCCTATGTTCATCCTCGTAACTTGCTTAACATAATTGCTTTTGGAACTAGTCATCGATATTGCTTCGTTGAGGAGGAGATACGACTTAAAGCTGCGGACACACATTCATCCATCCATCCATCCATCCATCCAGAAATGACGGGTTAATAAACGCAATTCTCCAGAATGGAAATTGCGCTAAAAATTGAGTCACGAAAATAATGAGGTCAGGAGGTGGAAACGCCTCTGGCATAGAAAGAGTTAATGTTGGCGCTTTTCCTAGAACGGGATTCTCTATAACATAGTATTAATCATACATACATTGCACATCTCGCAGTGATATTTTCAGGAACTGTTTAGCATCGGAAGCGCATCAAATCTTGTGCGCAGAGGAATGGGTGAACGAGAAAATAAAGTTCCTTGAAGAGGGTTTTTTTTTTAATTCTTTTATTTTTAGTTTAACGCCTATATACGTAAGCATCTTTAAAACAAACTTTTTTAGCTAGGGTTATGATCATGATTACATACTTGAATATTCCAAGTTGACGTTTATTTATTTATAATCTAGTTTAAATCTAGATCTAATATTGATTCAATCAATTATTCATTATTTTTTTCAGCTCATTTAGCTCTAAAGTTTACTTTAAAATTAAAATACATTTTATTATCGATAACTTGGACGTTTCAGTGTAGGAATCTGACTTGCGTAGATTTCATCTACAAAGTCAATATATAAAGAGAATGCCTTCCTCGATATACTTCGCCTTCTGTTCCCTCTCAGGTACCTTTATTTAATCTTCTTTCGCGTAATTTTGATATTTATATAGCACCACCCCTCATTTTTTGCACATAGTTGTACGTACAAATTTGTATTAAAAATTAAACAAACATAGAAATGTATAGTTTGATTTGCGAAATCTAAACCTTTCAGCAGATTTGTAAAATCTTTTTTGGGGATGTTATAGAGTTTTGAAAAAGTGTTCATTTCGCACCTTTTACGTGGTTTCCATTGCAATCAGAACTGCTTTAGGCAGCTATATGTGATTTTTGTCTATAGGCTAACAACTATCAGAATTTCTTCCAGAATCTATTATAACCGTTTTCAAAAACGTGAAATAACAGCTAAAACTCGTTTTCTAGCATTACTTTTTTATAATGCAAAAGTGTGACGAAACACCATCTGAACAACCCACTCCCCTCCATCACACACCGTCACAACATTACGGATCCCCCCTCCACTACGAGTGTTACCACCCCATATATTGATCACATATTTTTTTTTATCCTTATTTTACTAACTAATGGCTATTTTTTTATTTTTTTTTGTAATAGTAAACATTTCTTTTTTCAAATTTTCAAACTTTGGTATTGTGAAATACCGTTAAAATTAATTGCTGAATTTAAATTATGTTTCCTTTACTTCAAATGTAGCTACGGTTACTGTTACAGATTTAGTTATTGCAAATGTTACTATAATCAAATTGTACTTATTGCTACAGCTTTGGTACATTATTGCTACAACAATGTAATTGTTGCTAAAGATTTCATATTTTAACTATAGCTATAGCTACTGTTCCAATACTTCAAATATAGTTATAGCTGCTGTTCCTATACTTTAAATGTAGTTATAGCTGCTGTTCCTTTACTTCATGTATAGTCATAGCTACTATTCCTATACTTCAAATTTAGTTATAGCTACTGTTTCTATATGGAAATATAGTTATAGCTACCATTCCTATACTTCAAATATAGTTATATCTACTGTTCCTATACTTCAAATATAGATATAGCTATTGTTCCTTTATGGAAAAGTATTTATATCTACTGACCCTTTACCTCAAATATAATTGTAGCTACTGTTCCTATAATTAAAATATAGTTATATATACTGTTTCCGTACTGGAAATGTAGTTAATGATACTACTCCCATTCCCCTCACGTCGTTTTTGGCACATCGTGTAAATGTAACGGCCTTGTGTCCCCCCCCCCCCCCCCCCAGCGTGCCTGCATGTCGCCGCCACCCAGGGGAACGACCTGGAGCTGTCCATCCCCCCTCAGGACACCTCCTGCAACAAGCTGTCCCAGATCGAGGAGATCCCCGTCACCGGTCAGCTGACGATCAGGTCGAAGGAGCTGATCAAACACAACCCCCACTCGTATTTCGTGTTTGAGATATCTCAACCAGGTAGCCCGTACATGGAGGTAGGCTTGGTTTGTCAGAGGAGATGGGGAGGGAGTAGGCTGGATTGTCTCGGGGAGGGGGGAGAGTAGGCTGGATTGTCTCGGGGAGGGGGCAGTAGACTGGATTGTCTGGGGGTGAGGTAGGCTGGATTGTCTGGGGGGGGGTGTAGGCTAGATTGTCTCGGGGTGGGGGGGTGGAGGAACGGATTGAACCAGGGGGGGTAGGCTGGAATTTCTCAGGTGGAGGCCGGATTGTCTATTGGTGGTTCGGGAGTAGGCTGGATTGTCTTGGGGAGGGGGGAGTGTAGGCTGGATTGTCTCAGGGAGTGGGAAGTAGACTGGATTGTCTCGGGGGTGAGGTAGGCTGGATTGTCTGGAGGGGGGGGTGGGGGGTGTAGGCTGGATTGTCTCGGGGGGGGGGGGCTGTAGGCTGGATTGTCTCGAGGTGGGGGGGGGGGGTAAGCTGGATTGTCTCGAGTTGGGGGAGGGTGGTAGGCTGGATTGTCTCGAGGTGGGGGAGGGTCGTAGGCTGGATTGTCTGGGGGGAGGATAGATTGTCTCGAGGGGGGGGGGGGGTAGGCTAGAATATCTCATCGGGAGAGACCGGATTGACACAGAGAGGGATAGGCTGGATTGTCTCGGGGGGGGGGGGGTGTAGGCTGGATTACTTCAGGGGTACCATCTTTCTTAGTAGTCTATTATTTGACAAGGTAAGAAATGTCGAATAGCCTTATCAAACTGTTCTCATGAAAAAAAGGACAAGATCAAATGCTTCTAACAGAACCCAATTTATCATTTATATTTTCACTACAGACGTGTCGCATAGCCTTCGCAAACTGTACGCACGAAATAGGCCGACAGTGCTACTGTTTCTCCCTGGATAAAGTCAACTACGACGTGGTCTACGTCCATAAGGCTAGACTCAATGAGCAGAAGACCTGGGTCAGGCTCTCCTGGTTGTCGGTGACAGGGAAGGAGCTGTTGGATCCACAGGAGGGGAATGTTGCCCATTCGTATAGTAAGTGGTTTGTTTGTTGTATTGTGTTTCCCGTTTGTATAGTGAGTGGTTTGTATAGTAATTGGTTTGTTTGTTACATTGTGTTGCCCGTTTGTATAGTGAGTGTTTTGTATAGTGAGTGGCGTGTTTGTTGTATTGTGTTGCCCATTCGTATAGTGAGTGGTTTGTTTGTGTTATTACGTTATCCATTCGTATAGGGCTCGTAAGTAGGTCACCAACCAGTTCTACGGCTCAATAAAACCTGCAATAGCCTAGAACTGGTTGGCGACCTACTTACCAGCAATATAGTGAGTGGTTTCTTTGTTGTGTTGCCCATTCGTATACGTATGTTGTTTGTGTGTGGTATTGTGTTGCCTTTTCGTATAGTGAGTGGTCCGTGTGTTGTATTGTGTTGCCTATTCGTCTATTCAGACGCGAGCGTCATCAAGGGCATCGCGATCAACAATGAGATGATTCATGTCAACGATGGCCGCTGCGAGAGTTTTGCTGACCTGCGTGCGCTCAACACCCTGCGCGTCTGCTGCCCGCCTGCGTTGCCAGGCTGCGACATAGATGTCCTAGTCGAGTCGCACCAGCATCGCAACAGCAACTGCGCTTCCTTGCACGACGTGCCGAGGTCCGACCTAGAGAGGGGCTTCGTCATCAAGGTTACGTACTGCGTAGACCATTCGGAGATCATATTCTGTGACAATCCAAAGGGTAAGTGTTCGATTTTCTTCTTGGAATGTTATTTACATTCTTGCGTCGTAACGAACTGAGTTTTTTTTTCGGGTTTGGTTTTATTCTTAGGATTAGCGCTACTATTAGAACCATCAGGGATAATGTTAGGGTTAGGGATGCTATTTGGGTTAGGGTTAAGGATATGGGATAGGGATAGGGATGGGGATATGGATAAGGATAAAGATAGGGATAGCGTTCGGGATAGGGATAGGAGGTTGTTTTGTTAGAAAATAATGTATGAATTAATGTTACAATAAAATATAAATTATGTTATGTTGTGACTTAGTATGCTACTAGGAGAGACAACTCCAAAATTAAACAACTGCTGCCTTGTAGTTTGTTCTTTTTTGGACAAAGGCTAAGGAAGCAAATCCAAATAGAAAAGCAGGCTGAAATCGGAGTCAATGGCCTCAATGGCGCATAACCAGTTGACACTTAACGCTTAATTGTGTTGGAGGCGTGGTCGAGTCGGCAAAAAGCTCATGGTTGATAAATTCGAACAAAAAGTCTTATGTTCAAACCCACTGGCAGATAAATCTCGATCCCCTTCAACACTAATAATTAAAAACGAAGAAGAAGAAGAAGAACAAAATGTGGCCTCTATAATAAATTCAGTGAACCGAACCTTGATTTAACGCTTGACCTATGTATCAATCTTACAAGACCTGGCCGCTAGTTGTAATTAACCTTTTTAACGTGTCTAACTTTTTCAGGGGTAATTCATCAGAATGAAGCACTTGTTGATTACTCATTCGATACAAACTATTGCCAAGGTACACATTAATAATAGATATCTGTACATCACTGAAACTGAGCGGCATATATATATATATATATATATATATATATATATATATATATATATATATATATATATATATATATATATATATACATATATATTTATATATATATATATATATATATATATATATATATATATATATATATATATATACATATACATATATATTACGAACGCTGTTGCAGTATTATGTGGTAGAAGCCATTGAGTTAACTTTTGCCGTGGAGGGAAAGATGTATATACAGGGTTTACGGGAATGGGGTAGGTTAGTTGAGTTTGTGGTATTTTTGCATGATGACGGAGGTTGTATGCATAGTTCAGAAGTAAGTGGCTGCAATTGTGTGTGACATAAGTGTGTTTTTGTATGGTATGTAGTGGTGGGTGGGTGGAAATGATGTGTGTGTTTGGTGTGTGTGTGGTGGGGGGGGGGGGGGTTGATGTGGATGGATGCGTATCATGGTGTGGGGTAGAATATTCAGATATTGAGAATTTATAGCAAAAATTGCCGTTGTGTCTGAGGGTGTATTTATCTGCTGACAATTTAAGACAAAAAAATAACCAAACTATTCTTGTCTTTGACAACCCTCCTACTAATTAAAACAAAAGTACTTATTCTTTTAATGCCGAGGAATAAAAAGGAAAAATTCAAAATAAAATTAATTTGACAATTATACGATTTAGTATTACGGTGTAGTGATGTGTTTTACATTGCCTTGATAACGTCAAAACACTATAAAATTAGTATCATTAACTATAATCAAGTCTTCACAAGTTGAAAATTAAAAAAAAAAAAGCAAAACACGATATATCAACACTACATTTTAATTTTCGTTCTATTCTAGGCTATAATGACCAAAAAGTTTTAGGCAGCATCGTCATCAACCATTACACTCTCGAGCTTCATTCCGGTCGTTGCGGTCTCTTCAAACAGTTGCAGGTACTCAATGTGCTCAGCGTCTGTTGTTCCATGATGTTCGCGGACTGCAACGTCACCGTAGTGATTGACGCTAAGCTGCACACTGACCACAAGTGCATCAGCCTGCAGAACATCACCAGGGACGCACTGTGGCCAGGGTTCGCCATCAGGATCCAATACTGCAAGACGCTATCTAAGACGTATGTTTGCACCCATAACAGATGTAAGTTCGGTTATTTAAAAAAAAAAAACTTTAAAAAAATTTCGTTTTGGACCTGGCGGCCCACGGTGTAGGCGAAGTAGAGTTCACCTGATTATCTTGATTGACCATAATAAGATATCGTAAAACTTAGGGGGCAGTTATCAATCTTGGAGAAAAATAGGAGTTACACTGACCTTATCTTGCAGATGTTTGTTCCTATATCAACAAATCCTGTGGAAGCTCATCCATAATAATCTGCCCAAGGGTTCGAACTCGGGAGTTTCGAGTTAATAGCCCTGTTTTTATCCACCAATCCAGGGGTCTCCAAACTACGGCCCGCGGGCCGAATGCGGCCCACGAAGTCCTCTCATCCGGCCCGCGGAGATCTTTTTGTCCAAGGAAAAATAGTTTTTTGGTGATGATGAGGAAATTGCGCAGAAAAATCAAAGACATGCCTGGAAGAAACTGGCCCCCGAACTGAAGTTTGATAGTTAATGCGGCCCTCGTACTGAAAAGTTTGGAGACCCGTGCACCAAACCAATCCCAACACTATGTTATAGTCAGGAAACAAAGAAAGATTTGCATTGTATATTCTCAATAAAGGTTCTGATAGTTATGAAATCACTAAAACAATATTTAACTTCACTTATTGCAGTTTTAAACACTGAAGATGATGAACAATTCTCCACGGCCGTGTCCCTACTTTACAGTGTGGAGTTAACTATCGCGGCCTGGGTTTTGTCGATAACTGTGACGTCTTCAACAAGTCAGCGGGCACATTGGATATAAGTTTTTAATGTCAATAGTACATGGACACGACTGTTTAACATTTTGACACATTCAGGTGCGATGTCACTTTGCTTGAAATAGTTCATTCTATTAGTATAATATACTGTAATAATACATGATTACACACACACACAAATATATATTCACACACACACACACACATTTATTTATTCATTTATTTATTTATTTAACGAATGAATGAATTAATTAATTAGTTTATTTATTTATTTATTTATTTGTTTTAATTTTTTAAATTTATTTTAAGCTATTTAATTTATTTAATTTATTTATTTACTTATTTTATTTTTTATTCTTTTTTATTTATTTAATTTATTCATTGATTTAATTTATAAGACATATCTGACTGACGTTATCAAACCATCAAGTCTACTTTAAAATAAGACCGCCGTACTAAGGGACACAATATATTTTAAAATACATTGTACATGAAATTAATGATTGTCTTTTACTTTTCTTTACTGTTTGAATGTTGTTACTTGTGTTTGAAGCGTTATAGTAACTAACCCTGCCAGACTATTAGCAAAGTAGTAAATGTTCTTATATTTTTGCCCTAACTTGGGGGCTAAGATTTAAAATGACGTCACATTCGTAGGGGGGAGGGGATCCGTAATTTTGTGACCGTGTGTGATGAGTGGGGGGGGGGGGGGTGTTCACATGGTGTGACGTCACACTTTTGCATAATAAAAAACAAATGTTAGAAAAAAAAATTAGCCGTTATTTTGCGTTTTAGAAACTGTTTTAATAAATTGTAACAGGGGATAAATATTGTATTTTAAGAAAAAATGAACTGCAGTTATGAGGGGAAGGGGGTGTAAGTCTAGGTGTGACGTCATTTTAGGGGGAGGGGTATGGCTTTTTGGGTGACAGGACATTACCCCCCCCACCCGGAAATTATCCACCCCCGGACATTTTCCCCCCGTATTCCCCCCCCCCCTCTCCCCCGAGCATTCCCCACCCCCCCACCCCCCTGTCATTTACCCCCGGGGAATTAACCCCCCCCCCCCCCCCTCTCAAGGTAGAATCCTAACTCTAATTAAATTGTTTTACCTATATACTACTATAATCCTAACCTTAAGAAAAGACCAAACCCTAAGCATCCACCTTCCTAAAACTTAACACAAAACCTAAACTAACGCTAGACATTGGTTTAAGCCTAACCCTAACCATAAACCTAACCGTAACCCTTAACCTAGCACTAACCCTAGCCCTTAATCTAGCCCTAACCCTGTCCGTGAGGGGGCGGGGGTAATGTCCTACTGAGCGGGGGGTAATTGACAGGGGGGTAATTGACAGGAGGGTAGTTGACAGGAGGGTAATTACTTCGGGGGGAAATGTCCGGGGGGGGGTAATTGACGGGGGGGGGGGGGAGAATGCCCTGTTCCCGGCTTTTTGTGACGATGTTAGACGGAGAGGAGAGTGTGAGGTAAAAATCGTCCAAAAAAAGCGTAATTTATGAATGACCCCAAAATAGTGTTTGTTTAGTTATTAGCAAGTGTATTGGAGGTGAGTTTTTTTATTATTGTTCAGAGGGGGGGGGGAGACGAAATTGTTCCAATTACATACACATGCGTAAATATTCACAAACAAAAATACACATGAATGCAATGGCAAAAACCTCGGTCATATGAGGTTGGTGTTGGTGACTGCAACTCGTCTAGGAAAAGAAACCTCATAATCAAACAACTGCTGCCTTGTAGTTTGTTCTTGGTTGCACAAAGGCTATGGAATCAAATCTAAAAACGGAAAGCAGGCTGAAATTGGAATGAAGTCCTTATAGGTCGCGTAACAGTTTGATAAGTAATTCTTAAATTAGCTCGAGGAAATCCCTTCCAACATTACATGTGCGCACGCACGCATGTACACACACACATGTATACACACATACGCACGCACACAAACACACACACACACACACACACACGCTCTCACATACAGACAAGATTGCAAACTATTTTTTTTTCGACTAAGGGAGATAAAAAAGGTCAAGATTTATTAAAATGTTTTTATTTTTTTGCTTGAATTTAACATGATATTAAACTACACATGATAATTTATCACACAAGAAAGTAAAAGCTAAATACTTGTTTTATTGTTGGCTTTTTCCTAGAACGTGATTTTATGTTCTCTATAACATAGTATTAATCGTACATACACTGCACATCTCGCAGTGATATTTTCAGAAACTGTTCAGCACCGGAAGCGCATCAAATCTTGTGCGCAGAGGAATGGGTGAACGAGAAAATGAAGGTCCTTGAAGAAGGTTTTTTGATTATTTAATTTTTAGTTTAACGCCTTGATTTGCGCACTATATAAGTAAGCATATTTAAAACAAACGTTTTTTAGTTAGGGTAATGATCATGATTACCGAAGCAAAATAAACTATATACATACTTGAAATGCCAAGTTGACGTTTATTTATTTATAATCTAATCTAGATCTAGATCTAGATCAAAATTAAATATTGATTTAATAAATTATTCGGTAATATCACGATATAGCGTTGGAAATTATCTGGTAATGTTTGTTGAGGTTCGGTAACATTCGTTACTGTAAACCATAGTTTATTTAACCGTTGAACTAAAAGTAAAGTCAAAGTGCATTGAATTAATGCTTTAACTTTAAAGTTTATTTGACAGAAAAATAGCATCAATTAGTAAATTTAAATATTATTAATAAAGTCGAGTGTAGTAATTACTAATTCATGTTTTTTTTTTAAGAAACACGAAAAAAAAACTAGCAGGAGATTTGCGACAACCACATCTAGATCTAGTAAAATAGGACGATTAGATTTACTAAAATTAAAAGTAGTAAGGAGAATTAGAAAAAAATGTTTTGTAGCAGCAATAATTAGCACATACACTTAAAGTAATTAGAAATACAAAATAATTAGCCAAGCAGTATTTAAATGCAACTAAATTCAATCCATGCACATTTTAAAACAGTAAATATTAACAATAATATGGCGGCAAATAAATGATGGTTTACAGTATTTCCGGTGGTTTCCTGAACGCCATGGTTTTACTGTTTTTTACTGCATATAATTCCGGAATAATAACCGACGCTATATCATGATTTTACCAATTATTCATTTCCTTTCAGCTCATTTAGCTCTAAAGTTTACTTTAAAATTAAAATACATTTTATTATCGATCACTTGCACGTTTCAGTGTTGGAAGCTGACTTGCGTAGATTTCATCTACAAGGTCAATATATAAAGAGAATGCCTTCCTCGATATACTTCGCCTTCTGTTTCCTCTCAGGTATGTATAATGATTTTTCTGTCACGTAATTTTGATACTCATGTAGCACCACCTCTAAATTGTGCACATAGTTGTAGGTACACATTTGTATTAAAAAAATTAACAAACAATAGAAATGTATAGTTTGATTTGCGAAATCTAAATCTTTCAGCAGATGTGTAAAATCTTTTTTGAGGAACAAAGTTATAGAGGTTTGAAAAAGTGTTAATTTCGCAACTTTTACGCGGATTCCATGGCAACCAGAACTGCTTTAGCCAGCTATATATGATTTTTGTCCATAGGCTAACAACTAACTATTATCATATGAATTTACGAAGCAACATGAATCATGTTAAAAACAAAGACTGCATAGTTCTAATATAGTTATAGCTACTGTTCCTATACTTCAAATATGGTTATAGCTACTGTTGTAATACTACAAATATAGTTATAGCTACTGTTCCTATACTTCAAATATAGTTATAACTGCTATTCCTATACTTCTAATATAGTTATAGCTACTGTTGCTATACTTCAAATATGGTTATAGCTACTGTTGTAATACTTCAAATATAGTTATAGCTACTGTTACTATACTTCAAATATAGTTATAACTGCTATTCCTATACTTCATATATAGTCATAGCTACTATTCCTATACTTCAAATAAAGTTATAGCTACTGGTCCTACATGGAAATATAGTTATAGCTACTGTCCCTATACATCAAATATATTTCAAAATTATTTGTAGCTACTGTCCCTATACTACAAATATAGTTATAGCTGCTTTTCCTATACTTCATATATAGTCAGAGCTACTATTCCTATACTTCAAATATAGTTATATCTACTGTTCCTTTATGGAAAAATAGTTATATTTATTGTCCCTATACTTCAAATATATTTGTAGCTACTGTTCCTATAATTCAAATATAATTATAACTACTGTTCCAATAGTTAAAATATAGCTATAGCTACTGTTCATACCCTACAAATATAGTTTCCGTACTGGAAATGTAGTTAATGATACTACTCCCATTCCCCACACGTCGTTGGCACATCATGTCAATTTTACTTCTTGTACCCACCCCCCCCCCCCAGCGTGCCTGCATGTCGCCGCCACCCAGGGGAACGACCTGGAGCTGTCCATCCCCCCTCAGGACACCTCCTGCAACAAGCTGTCCCAGATCGAGGAGATCCCCGTCACCGGTCATCTGACGATCAGGTCGAAGGAGCTGATCAAACACAACCCCCACTCGTATTTCGTGTTTGAGGTCTCTCAACCAGGCAGCCCGTACATGGAGGTAGGCTCGATTGTCTCATGGGATGGAGGGTAGGCTAGATTGTCTGGGGAGTGAGGTAGGCTGGATTGTCTCGTGTGGGGGAGATGGAACGGATGGACTAAGGGGGGATATGCCAGAATTTCTCAGGGGAAGACCGGATTGTCTCGGGGGGGGGGTGTGGTGGGGGGGGGGGGGGTTGGCTGGATTATCTCGGGGAGGGGAGTGTAAGCTGGATTGTCTCAAGAGGATTGATTTTCTTTAGCTGTTTTATTTTCTATTTTACAGTAATTCATAATTTATGAATTCGACAGTACCAATGCTGCCACTGAAAATATTTGCTTTAAAACACTATCAGTAGGTCGTTAAGAACGATAACCAACCCATCCTCCTTTCCCCCAACCCCTACCATACACCCCCCCTCCCGTGAAAGCAGCCTCCTCTTAGTTACCTCGTCTAAATTTAAAATAGTTTCAAACTAAATTATCTGCCCCTAGTAGCCGTCACTAAACTCGGCTCTACGATTCTGAACATTTAGCCTGAACCACAGCTCACCACACCATGGGGGTGGGGGGTGGGGGTGGTAGGGATATGCCTAGAG